TGATATTCTCGAGGACTCCAAACCTCGAGCGCAACTAACTTAAAAAGTAGTAATGTGCTCATGTGACATCCTCGAGGGATTGTCAAAAATGATGTAGGCTTTTTATACGTCTCCGGGTATTACTATAACGGCTTACGCTTTAGTATGTTGTATGATCAAGGATTTTTTGAGTGCTTGTGCGGGGCAAGGCTTTTAGTGCTTGCTCGGGGCAAGGCTTTTGGTGCCTGCTCGGGACAAGGCTTTTGATGCTTGCGCGGGGCAAGGCTTTTTGTGCTTGCTAGGGACAAGGCTTTTGGTGCTTGCTCGGGACAAGGCTTTTGATGCTTGCGCGGGGCAAGGCTTTTGATACTTATGCGAGGCAAGGCTTTTTGTGCTTACTCGGGGCAAGGCTTTTGCTACTTGTTTGGGGCAAGGCTTTTTTGAGTGCTTGCGCGAGGCAAGGCTTTTAGTGCTTGCTCGGGGCAAGGCTTTTGATGCTTGCGCGGGGCAAGGCTTTTGGTGCTTGCTCGAGGCAAGGCTTTTGATGCTTGCTCGAGGCAAGGCTTTTGATGCTTGCGCAGGGTAAGGCTTTTAATGCTTGCGCGGGGTAAGGCTTTTTGTGCTTGCTCGGGGCAAGACTTTTGATGCTTGCGCGGGACAAAGCTTTTTGTACTTGCTCGAGACAAGGCTTTTGATGCTTGCACGGGACAAGACTTTTTTGAGTGCTTGTGCAGGCCAAGGCTTTGGACTGCTTGCATGAGGGCAAGGCTTACGTTGCTTGTCAAGGACAAGGCTTAGGTAATTCCTGGGCGCAAAGCAAACTATAGGGCTGTTATACCCGATGTTTAAATTTATTAATTCCTAGTACTGGACTCGAATTTATATTGTATCCAAGCTGCCTACGTACCCAAACGGGATCAAACCGAACGTAGTTCATTAAAAAAGAAAATGGAAAACATGCATGGGCACGCAGGCCCGCTAAACTAGAAATAAAATGCAAGGGCACGCAGGCCCGAAGAACTAAAAATAAAATTCAGAAGAATTAAAAATTCAGGAAAAGAAAATCTCTTAGATGGCATCAAGAATGTTACTTGTAATATATTTTTAGATTATTGGCATTCCAGGGCTTTGGAAGAGGTCTACCCAAAGTGTCTTTTAGGCTGTATGCTCCTTTGCGAACTTGTCGTATGACCTCAAAGGGTCCTTCCCAGATGGGCCCGAGCTTCCCTGGGGGGGTGACTTGCTACTTCGGCCCTCCTCAAGACCAAGTCGCCAGCTTTGAACCTCCGAACCTTGACTTTGCTATTAAAATATTTTGCTGTCTTAGTTTGGTAAGAGGCCACCTTTATAGCGGCTTGCTCCCGTACTTCTTTCAAGAGATCAAGATGTTCAGTTGTATGCCCCGAGGTTTCTGGCACGAGCCTCCTATAGCTTGGAAGTCTAATTTCCATCGGGACCATTGCTTCAACGCCATACGCTAACATAAAAGGGGTTTCTCCTGTGGTTGTCCTATGAGTTGTTCTATACGTCCATAGTATAGAAGGCAGCTCGTCGGACCAAGAACCCCTAGCATTACTAATTCTTGTTTGGAGGTCTTGTAATATGATTCGATTTGTTACCTCGGCTAGACCATTGCTCTGAGGATGCGAAACTGAAGTCAGACGGTGATCAATCCCAAGGTTTGAGCAAAAGTTCCTAAACTGTTGATTATCAAATTGCCTGCCATTGTCGGTGATGAGGACCTTTGGTATCCCAAACCTGCAAATGATAGACCTCCAAGTGAAGGCTCTTAGCTTGGGCTCCGATATCATAGCGAGAGGTTCGGCCTCTGCCCATTTTGTGAAATACTCTACTGCTACAGCAACAAACTTTAATTGACCTCTTGCCACAGAAAAGGGGCCGTGGATGTCAATTCCCCATTGTTCAAACGGGGCCGAATAGTTAATGTTGGTGAGGTCTTCGGCTGGTGAATGGATAACATTACCAAACCTCTGGCACCTATCACATCTCTTAACATATTCTGAGGCGTCTTTCTTCATAGTTGGCCAATAGTACCCATATCGTATGAGTTTAAAGGCCAGGGCCCTAGCTCCTTGATGATTCCCGCACACACCTTCATGAACTTCAGCAAGGACCTGGGATGATTCTGATGGTCTAAGGTACCTTAGGTATGGAAGAGTAATACTTCTACAAAAGAGGACACCACTGATCATGCAGTACCTAGGAGCTCGAGCTCTGATGCTTCTAGCCAACCTGGCATCGCTTGGTAGATTTCCACTTGTGATGAATTCTATGATTGGGTCCATCCAAGACGGTTCGTTGTCAATGTCCATGACGTCGGGGATTTGATTGATGCTGGGTTCTGTGATGACTTTGATGTGAATTGTTCTGTCCAGGCTGTCTACCCCCATGAACACAAGCCTGGATAATGCGTCGGCTTTTCCGTTGTCCTTTCGAGCAATTTTTGCAATTTCACAAATCTTGAATTTTCGTTGAAGATCCTGAACCTTCATGCAGTACAAACTCATTTTCTTGTCTTTCCTTTCGAATGATCCTTCAATCTGTCCGACCACCAGTTGTGAATCGCTAAATACCTTTACGAGCTCGAGCTCAAGGCTAAGGGCTAGCTTTAGAGCAATAACGACGGCCTCATATTCGGCCTCGTTATTGGTTGCTTCAAACTCGAACCTAAGAGCGCATTGAATCTCCGTATGTTTGTCAAGGCTAATGATGATGACCCCTGCACCCGAGCCCGAGGAGTTCGATGCTCCATCTACAAAAATTTGCCAAGTGTCCAAATTGGAGCTCATGCTCGAGCCGTCACTGGCCCCCGAGGCCTAGGGGTTAGTTCTGCAATGAAGTCGGCTAGTGCTTAGGCTTTGATAGATGGGCGTGGTTTGAATTCGATGTCAAATTCTCCAAGCTCGATCGCCCATTTCATCAGTCGTCCTGAGACGTCCGGCTTCTGAAGTATATGCCTAACTGGTTGATTAGTGAGCACCACAATAGTGTGAGACTGAAAATACTGTCGGAGTTTTCGTGCTGCTATCACCAACGCAAGGGCAAGTTGTTCCGCCAAAGTATACCTTGTTTCTGTACCTAGTAGGACCTTGCTTACATAGTAGATAGGTTGTTAGACTCTGTTAACCTCTTTCACCAAGACCCCGCTGATCGCGTTTTAAGATACGGCCAGGTACAAAAAAAGGTGTCACCAGGCTCAGGCCTAGTGAGAATAGGAGGAGATGTCAATGTTTGCTTGAGCTCCTGAAAAGCTTTCTCACAGTCTTCACTCCAATCAAAGCCTTAGTTTCCTCTGAGAACTTTGAAGAAGGGATATCACCTGTCTGATGCTCGGGGCATGAACATGTTCAAGGCTGCTATCCTACCAGTTAACCTTTGTACCTCTTTCTTGTTCCTTGGTGATTCCATAGATGCCAAGGCTTGTATTTTATCAGGGTTAGCCTCTATCCCTTGGTGAGTGATCATAAAGCCCAAGAACTTGCCCGAGGCTACGCCAAATGCACATTTTGCGGGGTTCAACTTCATTCTGTACTTTCGCAAGGTGTCGAAAACCTCTTCAAGATCGGAAATATGCTGGTCCACCTGTTTGCTCTTGACCACCATGTCATCAACATACGCTTATGTTCAGATGTGCTATCCACCAAGTTGTCAATCTGCGGTAGGGGATAACTATCCTTTGGACATGCTTTGTTAAGATCTGTGAAGTCAATACAGACCCTTCACTTACCATTGGCCTTCTTCACTAAAACAACATTGGCAAGCCAATCGGGATATTGGACCTCCCAAATGAATTGAGCACTGACGAGTTTGTTAATTTCTTCACGAATGACCTCCCGACGTTCTGGGGCAAACTGTCTTTTCCTCTGCTTTACTGGTCTGGCCCCTGGGCTAATGTTAAGCCTGTGGACTGCAATTTTGGGGTCTATCCCCGGCATATCCTCAACCTTCCAAACAAAAACGTCAATGTTGCGAGATAAGCAACCAATAAGTTCTGTCTTTAGGGTGGCATCAAGATCCCGACCAATCGTCACCTTCTTGTCATGCTCGAGCTCGATTTCCATCAATTCTTCGACAGGAGCAAGTCTGACTTGTTGCCCAGTCTCAGGCTCCATCATTGAGATTTGCATGACGTCGTTATTTATTTCCCGACCGTTGGCAACATAGCATTATCTGGCAGCTGTTTGGTCTCCACGCACGATCCCAACGCCATTACTTGTTGGAAACTTCATGGCTAGGTGGAAGGTAGACACAATGGCTTTGATCTTATTCAGGAGTGGTCTTCCCAGAATAGCGTTATAGGCCATTGAGACACGTACCACTTGAAAGGTTGTCATCTCTGTAATCTGTTTCTGGTCAGAACCCAAAGTTAGAGGAAGCTCGACGACACCCTCTAGAGTGATAACTCCTCCTCCAAATCCCTGGAGAGGAGTTTTAACCGCTTTGAGCTGCTGAGATGAGATTCCCATATTGGCAAAAGCCTCTTGTGAAAGTATATTGGCCGCACTCCCGTTGTCAACCAAGATTCTCTTTACTTCAAAATTGGCCACAATCGCTGAGATGACCAAGGCGTCATCATGTAGAAGTGATACACCTTCCAAGTCCCTGGTTCCAAAAGTAATATCCTCCAGCTTTCCATGAGGCATCCCAAAGGCCAAGGCATATTGTCGGGCATATTGTTTTCTTCCACTGTTCGAGTCTCCTCCCGAGGCAATACCCCCAATGATGATATTGATAGTTCCAGCAGTGGGTTGACCATCCCTCTTTGCTTCAGGGGCTCTTTCCCTACCACGATCGTTCCTCGGGCGTTTGTCGTTACCGACTTAGGAACTCAGGAGTCCTCTTTTAACAAGGGCTTCAATCTCTCGTTGCAGGGCCTTACAGTTTTCCGTGGTATGCCCATGATCCCGATGAAATTCACAGTACGTGTTCATGTCCCTGGATTCGGGTGGTGATCTCATTCTAACAGGCCATTTGAGTTCCTTCATATCCTTGATCTCCATCAATATATTTGTTTTTGAAGTATTTAAACGCGTGAATGACGTCGGGGGAGCCTCCTGTCTCTGTTTTCTCCGAGGTGGTTCTTGACGAGGGTTTGGGTCGTGCTATCGTTTATGCTCAACCCTATCATGGGATGGTCCAACCTTTCTCGGGTTCAGTATTTCCTACATATTTATGTACTTCTCGGCTCGGGTAAGAAGCTCGGTCACTGTCTTTGGCGGAGTTTTGGATAAAGACATCTTGAAAGCCTCATACTTTATGACATATGTGAGGGCAGAAACTGCTACAGTTATATATAGGTCGGGAATCTAAAGTCTTTCCTTGTTGAACCTGGTCATGAAGTCACGTAGGGTCTCATTTTGCCCTTGTCTAAGTTGCATGAGGGAAGCCGCTGTCTTCCTGATGCATTTACTGCTTGCGAAGAAAGCAGAGAACTTATCCGCCAAATCCGAGAATGAGGCTATAGAGTTGAGCTCTAAGATTGAGAACCAATCCCTAGCAGCATTCGTCAAAGTTTGCGGGAAGGCCTTGCACATCACCTGATCCGGTGCGACCTAGATTCATGACCTCCGTGTCTACGTTAAGATGATTGATTGGATCGGTGGTCCCATCATATTCTTTGATCCTAAGATACTTAAATCTGTCTGGCAAGAGGAATGTCAATATCTCGGGAGTAAAGGGAGTGTTGGGACTGAATCTTGCTGACCCTTTGTTGCCCTGAAGTAGGTCCGCCGTAATTCCTTCTTAAATAATCCTAGCAAGTTCCCCGGACTCCATGGTCACTGATTTCGAGGCCGAGGTCACATGTGGTATGCCCGAGGCCCCTGTTCCGCCATTGTCAGGGACATGTCTCTGAGCTCGAGCTCGAGCATCAGCCATAAAACCCCCCTGGGGTGCCGGTGTGGGTGACGGATGCGAATTTCTTTGACTTAGCAGCTGAGTCAGTGTGGCGACCTGTTGTCTAAGCTCTTCAAAGGCTCCGCTAGTGACGACTGCCGGCTGGGGCTCTGGCACTTCTGATGATTCCTCTTGAGAAACAAGGATATCTTTAGGAGGAGGTTGGTTTGGAGCGGATGAGCTTGCTGGTGGAAGACCTGAACGTGTGTTTACCATGGCTTTTGGTAGCGCTTCCCACAGACGGCGCCAATGATGCTACCAAAAATCGTACCTGCAGATTTTTCGAGCTTGATGACTGATGAGGAGTACAAACGTGATCTTCCGGTACCTGAAACAAAGGCAACGAGGTGTCTTCTCGTCGTCCCTCCGATACTTAAGTCAGAAAGGGAATTATATGCGTGAGGCTATATGCTGGAGAACAATGAAAAACGTACGTGAATAATGGCACAAGGTTCTGCTTTTATAGGGGTAGGTAGTGCACTCCAAGTAGGATTGTGCTGGTTGGATGTTTTTATCCAAGGGAATTCTATTTATAAAGAGTGCCCTACTTGTAATGGAATTGTTTGACAAGTGGTATAAGGGTTGATACAGAATTCTTGGGTGTTTAGGTTTGTTTGTTAGGTACCTAGGTCTTAGAAGGTATGTTGGTGGTATATGTCCCAAGAACTATTTTCGAGGACTTAAGAGGTCGATGTTAATATTTGCATGAGCTACCTCGAGTACCAAAATACCTCGAGGTCTCAGGGAGATCCCGAGAACCATAGCAGAAAGGTGAGCTAGAGCATATATGGAGTTCTCGGGGTGTACTCCTTGGAGTATATCAATATTGGCATCGTCAACCTAAAATAATTGCTTATTGAAAAAGCAGTTGCATCTAACAGCAGAACTTGAAAAGTACCAAAATAGTAGCTTTTCACATTCAGTTTTTAACACAGTTTTTAACATTTTCAATTTATATGTGGATTTTTACCCTCAGAACGTGAAAGTCCAAGTTTTGCACCTCGCTTAAATTTCTCTCCCCTAATTACCCAAAATCCTTTATTCTTCCCATTCATGAATAATTTGAATTTATTTGATATCCTTTCTTCTATTATATGGAAATGCAGAAATTGAAAAATCAAAATTGATGCTAGTCTAATGTATATGAAAGATAATATAAATTTATTTGATTCATTTGAATTTATTTGATAACCTTTTCTGCTATATGAAAATGGAGAAATTCAAATTTTAAAATCGAAGCAAGTCTAATATAAATTATTTGAATTTTGATATGAATACATATGAATATTTTTATTTTAAAATTCCTAAATTTTGTTAGATTTCAGTATTTTTTTTTTATATAAAATAATATTGTTTATTGAACAAAGACTCAATATTATGATGTACGAAACACAAATAAAAATATACATCATTATATTCCATGTCAACACTCAAATACATATTCTGAGACGTAAAATAATTATGAAAGTAACGTTTATCAAATACCTAACTGATTGTTCCAAAAGTTGATAAAATTAATAGCTAAATCCCTTAAAAGCACAACAATATCAAACTAGTCTTACTCTCTAAATTTCTTGTGGCGAAAGTAATTAAACGACTATGTTTCAAGAATTGCTTAAACTCAATGGAATATTATATTAAAATATAATTGTTGACTTGAGACTTTGTTGGATCTCAATGACAATCGGGCTCGTAGGCTCGAACCGCTCGTAGCTCGGCTCGGAAGAAGTTTGAGCCCGCTCGGCTCGAAGCTCGGGAGAACCAAGCCGACCCTCGGGCCTAGCCCCATTTTCAGGCGCCGAACAAAGCCTGAGCGGGTCCGTGTGGCTTGTCGACTTGGGAGAACCGAGCATTTATTTTAAAAATAAATAAATAAATAAATAAAAATTTAAGTCAGCGTGCTGCCGCTAGAAATAGGCAGCGGGTTTCTACCTTTGAAATAATAATAATAATAATAATAATAATAATAATAATAATAATAAATTCAAAACCAAACAAAACCCGAGTTGACCCGGCTCAACTATGAAAGGCCCGAGTCAAAAGCTCGGGTCGAGCCTAATTTTTTTTTGCTGAGCTTTTGCTCGGGCCTCGAAGAAAGCTCGGATATTTTACCTGAGTCGAGAATTTCGGCTCGCGAGACAGCTTGGCTCCGCTCCGCTCGTTGACATTCCTAGATCTCATACTTAGCCGTCTCGATCCTCAATTGATTATTTTTCTTTTTAATGAGTCAAATTTGTATTCTGTAAACTTGTTAATCAAATGTTGAATAGCATTAGACAATAGTAGTCTCACATCATTTCAACAATGCAAACTGCAAAGTATGAACTATATTGCTAATAATTTTTATGTCAACTTGATTACACTTAAAGATGTCCCATTGAAATCTTCTTGGATTTCCCTCCTCTTTGCTCTTGTCGTGACAATGATGACTGGTGAGATTTCTCATTATATTTCCTCCACTAGTCCAACCGGGACCTTGAGCTAGTTTAGCTAAACTTAGACACATTACTTACAAGTAGATAAGTAAGTTAAAAATTAAATAAATTGTTTCTTGGTCAAAGTTAAAAACAAGCAAATCTCTTCTTTGAAACTAAGGTAAGAGAGACTTCAAAAATAACCTTTTCACCAAAAAATTAACTTAAGCATAGGCGACAAATAAGCAAGTGGGGGACGAGACAAGGATGCAATTTAAAAGGAAATTGACACCTTAAATAAATCATAAATGAAGAAAATGACACTTTTAGAATTATGCTTTGACGCCTACTATTGCAATAAAGTGAGTGGGGTTCATAAAATAGAAAAGTAAAGGAGAAGGTTCATAGGATGAGATAATATAATGTACTTAAAAAGAAGGGGGGAAAAGGAAGAAGAAGATGATATAATGTAGGTGTTCATTATAGGTTCGATTCACAGCCTCATCTTTTTAGGAAATTTTTTGAAGTGGACTTGGTATAACAAAAGCTTCAATACAACTGTCTTGCATGTACATGTCGTAGAATTGTTAACATAAATTACTCAAATATACATATACAAACCTATATTGCTTATGATTAGGCATAAGGAGCGGGTACACGCCAGAAGTAACTAATTTCGGAGAAAAATTACAGTTCGGTTTTAGATTTCACAAAACAAGGCATTTAGGGTTTGATATTTTTAGAATGGAGCATTCAAGTTCACAATCTTTTACACTTATTTAGGCCTCTAATGGATGGAGAGAAGTCGTCCGTTTAACCATTAAAAAGTCAAATCCTATGTTAAAAAAATTATAAAATATTTATTTGGAATTAAATAAAGAAAAAAACAAAGAACTTGGTCCCTGCACTGGAGATGTAGCCTCTCTACAAAATCGAAACATGCCTACCTCTACAATTTAATCTTGTTACTAAGATCCAAAATTTCCGTTCATTAAAATGTCAAATCCTATACTAGAAAAATCATTGTTTATATTGCAATAAATAAAGAAAAAATAGAACTTGGTCCCTGCACTATTACAGTTTTCTCTTCCTTTTTCCTTTTTATTTATTTATTTATTTTGTAAATTTATGTGTTGCAATTGCTTTCTGGGAGTTATTCGGTGCTAATTTTGTCAGTTTCTCTTACATGTGAAAAAATCTGATGAAATTTTGTAATCTTGGGTTGGTTCTTGAATCCAAATTACATCCAGCACCCCCGTTCTTTTAAATTTCCAATCTTACTTCCCATATTTTTTTATTATTTAAATACTTCTTTTTATTCCCAAATACGCGCGCACACGCAACACAAGATCTAACACAAGCAAACCCACCAAGCACCACCACTGCCATAACCACGACCAACATTGCTGCAACCATTTTAATGCATTGATTATCATCACGTTAGTGGCTCCCTTAATCATTGTCCAATATAGTTTTTGATACATTTTACTACATTGAACATTAAACTGGGAGCAAAGTACCTCTTAGACCATCAAAATCACAACCAATCACGATGAATTACATTTTTTTCATTTTAACATCATTTTTTGTTAAACAACTAGATAAATAAATAAATAAAGAAGTTTTGCGCTTGAGACTGAGGGAAGCAATGTTAAAGAATTAGTTATTTTCTATAGAAGAATTAAGGAAGT